ATATAGTCAGAATTATCTTAATATATCAGCTTATGGGTCTGAAGATAAAAAAGTTAAATCTTCATTAGGAAATTAAATTGTATTAATGCTCAAGTTAATAAATTCACCATTTATCAGTACAATGTTACTGTTATCCTTAAAACATGTTCCATTTAATTATCTCCAATTTATAGTATTCAAACATATATTGATCAAATAAAAAGAAAAATAGAGGAAAAAACAAGCAAATATTACATGGACCAACGTACATATAAAAAAGCACTAATTCTTCTAGTTTGCAATTGTGATAAAAATTTAGCAGTAAGGACTAAGAAATCTGAATTTTATATAGCTATTTCCTCTAACAGATAATGAATAAATGTTAGTTGAATAAGCATAAAAGATATGAATCAGATAGATTTGATTGGTTGTTAGATTTATTTTCAGTGAAGTGAAACCAAAACCATCCATTTCTTAGGGACAACATTTGGGGTGACAACCAGGTAAAGTACAACTTGAAGTGACACAATCAAACGTTGAATTTCCAAAAATTCAAGTACAAAAGACACACCATTGTTACCTTGATGTATCACCAATTCACAGTCTATTAATGTTGCTGAAATTTATGAGGCATATAACCATATTCAAAGAAATGTACAACAGAAAAAAGTTAATGTAATTTACAAAAATTGTAACTTCTTTTAAGCAATTTCTTACAATATGCATCTTATTCTAGACAAGTTTGTGGTGCAGTTTTGACTTATCTCACCTAAACCATTCATTTTAATTACAAAAATATACCAAACAGTAAAGCAACATATGTGGATTTTGCCAATTATAGATTTTTGTACCACTATAGCCACAAGTCATAGTCATTTTGCCTCCTATCTACCACCACTTGTTGATAAAAAACTATACTTTATTTTACCCTTAAGATATTTTCTCTGTTACTTACACTCTAATCAAACCTTTAAAAGGTAAATGGTGAGGTCATTGGTAATCAAGTGGTAATATTGTAATTATGGATCCAAATTCCAAGTATTACAAACCCAAAAAAATGCTGTTATGGAAATGTGTTATTCATAGTCAAAAGGATATTTTTGTGATGTAATATATTCAATAACACCAAAAAGGTGAAAAGGTATTAGACATGTATGGTCAGTTCAGGCATAAAGAAACTCAAACTTTGGTGTCTTTATAGTAATTGATTCATAAGAAGGTACCTTAAATCCAAAGCTGAAAGAAACAGAAAACTCAGATGATGATCATTCACTAATATATTGATTGAGTGTGCCCATCTCATCACAGTCTGTAAGATTGGTCATTGTATTCTTTTTTGAAGAAAACGACAATTTTTGAGATAACTCATGACTCTAACATCCCATGTGGGATCCTCCTTATTTCATGAACAATGTTTTGTCTAAGTTACTTTGCTCTTTCCTTTGGTTTTTTTGGTAGTGACTTCTCTTAGTTAAAGCTACTTTACTGAGAGAAAAACCTAGAGCTTGTTGTTCTGTGAATCTTGTTTCATCTTTTTTCAAGCATGTGGGAATCAGGGAGTGAAGCAGGACAGGAATATGGTGTTGGAGTTCTCAGTTCAAGCAAGCATAGTGTCAGGACTGAAGGATTTGTTCAAAGAGGTCATTCTTGGTGAGTATGTTAATTAAATGCATAATAAGTATAGGTATGGTATAGTATAGTATAATAGCCTTTGAAGATATTATTAATCTCTTGTTCTAATAAGATGCTAATCTTTTGTGTTATTTTTAGTGAATTGTTATGACAAAGTCCTGATAATAGTGTTTTGTCCTGTTAATTTACTCATGTCATAATGTTGAACAATATAAGGTGCTTAAAAATATAGTCTCTCCTTTTATTTTCATGTAGGTATGTTGCCACTGATATTCCAAGTGACTTTTTAGTTCAAATTGGAGAAGCTAACTTCCACATGCACAAGGTAGGTAGCTATCTTTTTCTCTTTTGAAAATTACTATGTTGTTTTATATATAGAGATTAGATACTACAGTACCATACTACTTACTCACTTGTACTATTGAACATTGTGACATTTTTTGTTGCTGTGAAAGTATCCCTTGCTATCTAGAAGTGGAAAGCTGAATAGGATCATAAGTGAATCAAGGGATCCTGATTTGAATAATATACTTATGGGTGATATCCCTGGAGGGCCTGAGGCATTTGAACTTGCAGCGAAGTTTTGTTATGGAGTTGCCGTTGATTTAACAGCAGGCAATATCTCTGGCCTAAGATGTGCTGCCGAGTATCTTGAAATGACAGAAGACTTAGAAGAAGGGAACCTTATATTCAAAACAGAAGCATTCCTCAGCTATGTTGTTTTATCTTCGTGGAGAGACTCAATAGTAGTGCTCAAAAGCTGTGAGAAGCTCTCACCATGGGCTGAGAACCTTCAAATTGTTCGCCGGTGCAGCGAGTCCATAGCTTGGAAGGCTTGTGCTAATCCAAAAGGCGTAAAGTGGTCGTACACCGGAAGAACAGCAAAAATTTCAAGCCCAAAATGGAACAACAATGTGAAAGATTCAAGTCCAAGTAGGAGCAATCAGCAGGTTCCTAATGATTGGTGGTTTGAAGATGTTTCAATCCTTAGGATTGATCACTTTGTTAGAGTAGTTACTGCTATCAAGGTAAAGGGTATGAGATTTGAATTGATTGGTGCTGCAATAATGCATTATGCAAGTAAATGGCTACCAGGGTTGATAAGTGACACAACAATTATCCAAGATGATGAAACAAGTAAATGTAGCATCTTTAATAGTAGTAGCAGCAGCAATAGTATTACTATTGGTGGTACTAGCTGGAAAGGTGGACTTGATATGATTGTGGCTGGAACTAAAGATGAGAGTTCAAGTGTTCAAACTAAGGAACAAAGAATGATCATTGAAAGCCTAATAAGCATTATTCCACCTCAAAAGGACAGTGTCTCATGCAGCTTCCTTCTTAGGCTATTGAGAATGGCAAACATGTTAAAAGTTTCTGCTGCACTAGTTACTGAATTGGAGAAAAGGGTTGGTATGCAATTTGAGCAAGCTACACTTTCTGATCTTCTTATTCCTTCTTATGATAAAAGTGAGACTATGTATGATGTGGATCTTCTTCAGAGGCTATTGGAGCATTTTCTTGTTCAAGAACAGACTGAGAGTCCAAGTCCAAGTAGACAATCATTCTTTGAGAATAATATGGGGGGTAGTAATGTAAATGCTAAGGCAAGAGTGGCAAGGCTTGTTGATAGTTATCTCACTGAGGTGTCAAGGGATAGAAACCTTTCCATGACAAAGTTTCAAGTACTTGCAGAAGCTTTGCCTGAGTCAGCTAGGACATGTGATGATGGACTTTATAGAGCAATTGATTCCTATCTTAAGGTAATTTGCTAAAACAAAAAATGTTTTACTTGCACCTTATTACTATACATGCTTCTTGTTTTCATGATAGTGAAGTACTTTTTAGTGGCAACATGTTTGATTTATAGCACATGTTTTCTAGAACAACTTATGATGATAAACTTAGGAGAATATTTTATGATGTTCCTTCCTATTTTGAAACAAATGAACAGGCACATCCAACAATGTCTGAGCATGAAAGGAAGAGATTGTGCCGTGTAATGGATTGTCAAAAACTGTCAATTGATGCATGCATGCATGCTGCACAGAATGAAAGGCTTCCATTAAGGGTAGTTGTACAAGTTCTATTCTCAGAACAAGTTAAAATCAGCAATGCACTAGCCAGTAGTTCTGTGAAAAGTGTTGATTCTCATACTCAACCATTGGTTATAAACAGAAAAGCACTTATTGAAGGGACACCACAATCATTCCAAGAAGGATGGGCAAGTGCTAAAAAAGACATCAACACACTCAAGTTTGAGCTTGAGAGTGTGAAAACTAAGTACTTGGAGCTTCAAAATGACATGGAAAGTTTGCAGAAACAATTTGATAAGATGATGATGAAGCAGAAGCAAACATCAGCATGGAGCAGTGGGTGGAAAAAACTTAGCAAACTTACAAAGATGACTCATGTAGAGAATCATCAATGCCTTTCACCTAAGGTTCCAGTTTCTGAAGAACAGAACAGAAAGACTACAAGAAGGTGGAGAAATTCTATATCCTGAGAGATATCAGAAATTCTCAACTTCTTTCAAACTGATTTTTATTTGTCCTCAGACTTTTTTATATTTCACTCATTTTCATGTTTTGAATAGCAAATTAGTGAGGCTTCAAGTTCTTCATGATTCTAAGCTACATTGTAATTTGTCACCAAAGTTAATCATATTTTTCAACTGAGTTTTCTACTGCCACTTCAACTACAAACATGCCCTTTGTTTATGTTGTTTTCTACTGTCCTTGTTATTTCAGGTTTTCTTATCTTAAAGAAAATATGTTAATATTTAGCATCAAAGTTAAGGATACACATAATATTATTGTAACTACTCTTGGACTTTGACAGACTAAGAGTAACCATGATTGACTAAAGTGCCCTTCAATTGATTAGATATATATATATATAAAACTTGAGATTCTAGAAGCTATCATTGCAGTGCATCATGGTCAATCTCAGTGTGAAATCCTTGATTGATTGCATGCTTTGCTGGCTAATATGAAGACAAGGACTTCATGCACCAAAGGATTTCTAATTTAACAAGGATCCTCTCCGATATTAGAGATGAAAGTTTATATTTTTCCCTTTGTTTTCAATGGTAAAAATATTATTTCATTGTATATGAAATGATAAAAGTATATTAGTTTTTTCCTTTTTTGTAGGACTTTTGTGTAGTACTTGAAAATTTGCTGGACCCTGCAGTATAGTACTTCTATTATTAATAACTCGGAGTTAACTTTTTAGCATATAGTTTGCATTCATGTAATAATGTGACTAGCTCATAAAGTTAGAATTGATTATCTTTGATTGTATTGACTAAAAGATCCACTAGATTATATATTTTAATTAATAGCACTCGAATTAGCATTGGTCTATTTCACCTTAGTTTTTTTCCACTTATATAGAATGTAATAGATAGTTTTGGATAGAGTGATAGAAGAGAAAGTGGCTGTAGTTTAGTGGTAAGAATTCCACGTTGTGGCCGTGGAGACCTGGGCTCGAATCCCAGCAGCCACATTTTATTCATTTCTCGAATCACTAAAACGACGGCGTTTAGTAGTTCTCAACCTCATTCATGGATTTAGAATAACTTAGTTTCTTTTGCACTTTCTTCATTTCACATATTTCGTATTCAGCGACACATTAAGGTCAATTTCTCATTCATCTCTTTTCTTCTTTTTATATATATTTTTTCCATTTCATTCGTTGCTTTTTCGGATCTGTTTTCTTTCGCTTTTGCCTTTATCCATTACACAAGTGCTAGGTTTCTTATTTCTTAATTTTTTTAAAGGCATGGCCAAGATTTCATTTTGGTTCAATTTTTGATGAAAACTCTGTAAAAAAACATTGGGTTCAGTTTCAATTGTCTTTAGTTTTATACGTTTAGTTTCAATCTAAGATCTATATTACTTTCACATATATGATGGGAAATTGGTTAAAGGTGATGATTATACTACAATTCACTCCTGTTGCAGTACTTAAATTGATGTGTTGTTTATTGATTCATTAGTTTTTTATAGACCGAATTTTTGATCTGGGTAGGAGGAAAGGGAAATTGTGCAGCTACCAGGGTTTGAATTTAGGTGTTTGCACTTTATGTGTTCCTTTAGTGATTCGTGAGTAATGTGAAAGGGTTTTCATTACTTTTGTTACAATGAGCAAAGTAAATAATATTTCGTGGCTGTTTATTTTTCAGTAAATGTGTGCATTGTTTGTTCCATGAAGAGGTTCCGAAATCTGAAGGGAAACTTGTTATTGTTAGTATTATGAATTATCTGTCATGATATATGTGGTTTATTTATGATGTGTTCTTTATGAATCATATTCACAGAGATTATTTTCCGGAATTGTTTATTTTGTGATGACGGAATTTGGTAAGGGGGCATAATTTGTTTCCATGAATACCTTGGTTGTTTGTGTTTAGTTTCTTGGCCCAAGGGGTATTGTTTCAATGATTAAAAAAGGATGGGAATTTGATATTATGATACTTGCAATTATGTTAGTGATTTGTATTTGATGTGCATATTCCTTTCTCTTTTTCTTGCCTCCTTCAGGAAGTAAAAGATGATTGATGATCGAGACTTGGGATTCATTGCCAACTCTCTTGGCATCTTCATTTTTGTATTGGTAATAGCATATCACTTGGTCACAGCAGACCCCAAATATGAAGCCGCATAGATACTTAATACTTTGAATTTTCTTATGCCATACTCAGAACACAAGTTTTATGGATTCAATTTTGTTTATTGATCTTTTAGGTCAGTTTGTATGACTTAATATTGGTGAAACTGAAGCCAGAGTTTATGATTTATGCAAACTAAATCTTCAATATTTACAACCATTTGTTAAACATTATAGATAGATTTTCTGTTGCTTTGTCTACTGGTTTTGAGCACTGTTTCATCTTTTGTTGTGTTTTGTCAGAAACAGTTCCTCATGATAATTTAGAGAAATTTTGCTTACATATGACGGGAATGGATTCTCTCTCTTGTAAAATAAAAATTGAGTGTCTAGTGTTATAATCCAACCATGCACACATGCTTTAGAAAATGGGTTCCATGCAAAATGAATGGTTAGATTATAACATTGGACAGAGAATTTTAAGGTAGAATGCTAGAAATTAGAGAGCTGATTAGGATGCTAGAGCTCAGAAGGGTTTAAAAGGAGAAAACTTCATAACTATATAAATGTGTAATAAGTCACACTGTAGTATGATAAAAAGTACAATAAGTTGCAAGAAAGTACACTGTATTTCACACCAAACAACAAAGATTAGGATGCTAGAACTCAGAAGGGTTTAAAAGGAGAAAACTTCATAACTATATAAATGTGTAATAAGTCACAATGTAGTATGATAAAAAGTACAATAAATTGCAAGAAAGTACACTGTATTTCACACCAAACAACAAAGATAAAATGATAAACTCATACAACTCTCTAACATAATAAGCATATATATATGTATAGCATGCAAACTTGGCAGAGATATCAAGCCAGGGGTTATCTAGTCAAAGTATTTAAGGGGTTTTGGTTGAAGGTGGTGGGGAGAAGAATGGAATAGATGGGAAAGTAGTTGGGATTGAGGGAATGTTGGGAAATGAAGTGGCTGGGAATGGTGGAAGATTAACCTGTGGAAGTGTTGGAATAGTGGTAGGGATGTTCATGGTAGGAAGTGGAGGCAAAGTGGTAGGAATGTTCATGCTAGGAAGTGGAGGCAAAGTGGTAGGTTTAGGCAGAGATGGGATAGTGGGCAAAGTTGGAATAACATTGCCTCCTCCTTGTGGCAATGTTGGAACAATTGAAGGCACAGGTGGCAATGCTGTTGGATTAGGCAAAGTGGGTATGGTTGGGAAATTTGGTGTTGTTGTTGTTGTTGTTTGCAATAGATGACGAGCTCCTAGGCTAAACCTCATGCTTGACAAGGTCAGAGCAAGAAGGAAAGATGTGATGAACAATTTGGTTGATGCCATGATCTTATATATGGAATTTGGATATATAGAATAGGATGTGCAAATGGAGAATTTGCTTTGAGATTGTGTGAGAAGTTAAAGGATAGTGTTTGGTCTTATATAGAGCTATAGAGAGGTGTAGGAACCAGAAAGAACCTTGACAATCTATTTTTGTTAGTTCAACTTCCTGTGTTTGGATAAAAATATATTATTATGTTAGACTGATAAGTTGGTTAGCTACTATAAGTTACAACACCCAAATATTCATATGTAGGATGCCCAACTCCTACTTTCTGTATTGTTAGTTGGGACTGGCTTTGTCCAAAATTAGAACTACCCTACTTTTAGTTAGCCTACAACTATATAGTTTGAATTACAATTCATTAGTGGTATGATTTTTGTACCTTTTTATTTATCTTCTATTACTACTTCATACATGAATTAAACATCAAAGTGGCAAGCAGTATTGTTCCAATCAGATTAGTTGGGTTAGCTAGACTAGTTAATTTGGATTTAACTCGTTTTTTCGATCCTGATTAAATTATTTATCCATATGTAAGATCAAATAAAATTGAGCTAATCAAAATTAATTTTATTATCTTAAATATGTTCAAATTGCGGTTTGATCAAAGTTAGGATTACTTTTTCAAAAAAAAATTAAAATGCAAAACATGGAAATCAAACTTAGATTTGTATATGATAGGGGAGAACTTTAATACTCTAGCACATATAGAAATCATTAGACTAAGTCATGTTGTTTGCCCTGGTGGTAGATAATTAGGTGTATAAGCTCATGATGAAAACGTGTATTAAGTCCATCATTACAACCAAAATTAAAAAATGGATAAACAACATCACATAAAAATGTGCAACATGTCCATCATTCCAACTCTATCATTGACTCTTAGTAACTACTTAGTAATAAGTTCATCCTTTATTGTGTATATTGTTTTGCCCATCTTGATTTTCATTAGAGAAATATTAACAACACACTTTTTAACCCAATATAATTAATTTTATGTAGGACATATCAAAACACATGAATGATGAAATTTCCAAAACTGTATTTGGATTTCATATCATTCAATTTGATTGTTTTAATCCAATAATGTTAGTGAATGTAATGTTTCAAATTCTTGGACCATGGCAACATATGCTTATGAAAGGATAACATGAATTATTTATTACAAAGTATAATTCTATAACAACAGGTCTCATAGTACAAGAAGTGGTGAAGAAATTGCAATTATCCCATGCATACAAACAAGGCAGGAGAAAATGAAAACAAAGGAAAATGAAATGTTACAAATAAATAAACAGTTCAACAACAACGACAACCAAACATTTATTCCACTAGGTGGAATCGGCTACATGGGCAATGCATAACGTCGACTTCAAATATAGTATAAAAAAGCAGAGAGTGGCTTCATTGATGAAGTGGATGAGAGAATGTTTGAGAGTGTTGGAATAATGGTAGGAAGAGATGATGGGATAGTAGGCAAAAAGGTGGAAAATTTGGCCTGAGACATTGTTGGGATTTGAGGCAAAGGTGTAAGAAAAGCAATGCAATGCATCATAGAGGAAAAAAGAAGTAAAACTCAGGACCAATAAACTTTGTTTTTGGTAGCAATTATGCCTCTTTCCTCTAGTTTGGTTCCTCTGTAATCCAATGTCCATTTCTCAAATGAACAGTCAACAAAGTTGTAGTAACCACCATGAACAGAGAGTTCTTCCTTTGCCACCTTTTCTTCTATCCATGGATAAGTAAGCAAGTTTGATAAGGAGATGTTAATTGATTCCTGTACAACAACTCAACAGCATTAAGACTTGAAACTAGTCAACATAACCAAATTCAACATTTATTAACATAGTTGGATCATATGAATTAATATGAAACAGAAGATTAAGGTAATGGAGACATTCAATGTAAACCACAAGAAGACAGAATTTACAAAAAAAATACTCATTTCTATGAATGCAAACACCATAAACAAATCCTAGCCTTATTTGGGGACAGTTCAAGCTTTATATGACATTCAAAACTTAAAAACAAAAAAGTATCACCTTCTCGCAATGCGTGCACTGCTCATCGAAGCTTAGGTTGGAAGCAGCAGCTTCGGCTTTTTTTCTTGCATTCTTCCCAGCAACAACCCAACTTTTTAAAAAGCTACTGGCCAAAAACAAAAAATGGCAAGCCAAAATGTTAATATATAGGACATTACTGAAGAAAACATAGGCATAACTAAACCAGATTAAGTGATTCTACCTTGCATTTTCATCATCTTTCATACTCATAAGGGCACGTATACCCCCACAGCAGCTGTGGCCAATAACTAAGATGTTCTCAACCTGCAATGAACAATTTTGTCTCAGTTAAAAAACGAGAAGTCTTACAGCTTTGTGACCAATAGTAGAATCTTCTAAACTCAAGTGTTAGAATCTTAAAATGTCAACTATTTCTTGAAACAAGCCATGTGACTATATCATTGGTTGACTTCAGACATGCTCATGCTTAGTAAATATTTAGTCTTCAATTTCAATAATTTCTTATGAGGTTGCAATTATCATAAGATCAGCCATTATTTTAACCAAAAACATTTTTTACCTTGATCCTAGTCTATCAATAGTTCATGATGACAAATTCAAAGCCTCAACATTTTTAATTTGGCCTAAATCATACTTCAAGGATCTAACTTCATACTCTGGGAAGTTCTGGTTTGTCTGTTTCAAAGCCTCAAGATTGTAATAAAATTTCTTTGAGTCAATGTAATAAGTCTAGTTTGAACAATTGTATGTCTTCTAGTTTTTCTCTTTGGCATTCAAGGTTGGGGCATCCCCACAAAGCAATTGTAAAGAATGTTTTGCAGTTATGCAATATTTCCCACAGTTATAAAAATGATCTTGATTTCTGTTCTTCATGTTGTATAGGCAAATCTCATAGACTTCATGCTCCTCTTTCTGTATCTGTTTACAATTCATGTTTTGAATTAGTTTATGTTGATTTGTGGGGTCCTGCTCCTGTCCACTCTGTTAGTGGGTTTAGGTATTATCTTTCTATTGTGGATGCACATAGTAAACATACTTGGATTTTTCTATTAAAGCAAAAATCTGAAACATTGTCAATCTTTCAGTATTTTCTTAAGTATGTTCATACTCAATTCAGCCACTCTGTTAAAGCTGTACAGAGTGATTTTGGTGGGGAATTTAGACCTTTCACTAATTTCCTTAAAACCCTTGGGATTGTGCATAGGATTTCTTGTCCTCATACACATCACCAACAAGGAACAGTGGAAAGGAAACATAGACACATTGTTGAGACTGGTCTCACTTTGTTAGAACATGCTCACTTACCCTTAGTCTATTGGGATCATGCATTCTTAACTGCTGTGTTTCTTATAAATAGAATGCCCTCTCCTATTCTGAAGTCAAAATCACCATTTTTGTTGTTGTTTGGTAAAAACCCAGATTATCAATTTCTCAAGGTGTTTGGATGTGTTTGCTATCCTCACCTAAGACCCTTTAACAGGCATAAACTAAGTCCTAGGAGCACAGAATGCATTTTTCTAGGCTATTCCTTAAACCATAAGGGATACAAGTGTTTGTCTTCTAGTGGAAAAATATTTGTTTCTAAAGATGTAGTCTTCAATGAGTCTCACTTTTCATACTCCTCAAACTTTCTCAAAGAGTCTTCCCCTTCTACTGAATTAGCTTCAACTGTGGCCAGTCAACCTACTCCACACTTCACCTTTTGCCAAAATTCCCTCAATCATACTTATTCAGATTTACCAAACTCTAACATTACACCATCACAAAATTCTCCACTACATGATACTATTGTTCCTATAACATCTCCCACTTCAATCTCATCATCTTCCTTGTCAGCTAATTCATCTCCTTCTGAGTACTTTCCCTCATCATCCTCTTCCATTTCATCCACAGCATCTCTGGATTTACCTCCTCATTCTTCTCATCCAATGCAGACCAGATCCAAATCTGGTTTACTCAATACAGCAACTCCTAGTGTTCAACTTGCTCAAAGTGAACCTATTAGTACCAAACTTGCTCTATCAAGTCCTGTATGGCATCAAGCCATGCAACTTGAGTATGATGCCTTAATGGCATTAGACACTTGGACTCTGGTTCCTCTGCCTCCTCACAAACAAGCTATTGGATGCAAGTGGGTCTTCAGAATTAAAGAAAACCCAGATGGAT